TCAGGGTATCGGGAGTCGAGCTGTGGCTCTCTGTCAGCCTGGCTACAGTGCTGAAAAGAAATCTTGCATTATTCTTATTCTCATCTATTAATGAAGAGTAGTAGGCTGCTCTCGCTTTACGCAGTGCTTTCTTATATTCATTGAGAGTAATATGCCAACTTAAACGAGATTCTTCAAGTTTAGTGGAACGCCATATCCTTTCAAGTTGTCTCGACTTTTGCTTTATTTTGCGGGTTTCGGCATTATGCCATGGAGCTAATCTATGTTGTTTTATTTTCTTCTTTTTCAAAGGAGCAACAGAGTCTAATTTTATTCGCAGCGCATCTGTAGCACTATCAACAACATGATCAATTTGGGGTGGTGTACATTTTGTATAAGTTTCCTCCCCTACATGCAGACATGCTATCGAGTTAAGTATTGGTGGAATCTCTTCCTTAAATTTGGCTATAGCACTAACAGATAGGTTTCTGCTGCAGGAGCTTTTGGCTAATGCTTTGTAGTCTAGTAACAGTACTTCAAAAGTTACTAAGAAATGGTCGGATAAAGCAGGATTATGCGGTTAATTGAACCCTTTCACTACTTTATACTTCTACTCTGCTACATTTTGGTAGCCAATTGTGTTCTTTTTAATCCACATCATTTATTTTACATATTTCTTAACTAGTTAGTTTCATGAATTCTGATTTTGACACACAATACTTAGGAACAACTTAAAGAATATGAGTATTCGTATTGATTTAACCATCCAACATTATATTTAAGTAAATCTAATCATGAGTGGTTTAACAGAAATTGTATTTGAAGTTTTTGGTTTCAAAGATCCAGCTTCTTAAAGGTGTCCTAAAAAATGCAAAATGCACTTTTTTTTTGTCTTTTAAACATAAATATGTGTTTCACAGTGTGTCAGAAAATAAAACCCTCTCTCTTTTCCTCTGATCCCACATCTCTAAAAACGGGGTACAATGGAGCTGATCCAGATTTGCTGCCGATATGAGGTAATATCAGAAATGTGGGCTGGCTTTACACCCACGGCCCTATCAGAAATGGCCCTATCAGAAACAATGCGCAACGTGTTTTGGAAGTAATGGTCTGTGTTTACATTAGCAAGCATCGCTAACACTCAGAGCTAACCTGTACTGGAGAGAGTATGTGGAAAGGACCTTCTAGTAAACCCGCAAGAGAAAAAGCATTTGGGCTCCATAATATTTCAGAAATAATCCTTGATGTGGTTTTGAACATGATGTTTAATTACGGCAGCATTTAGCTGGGAATCTGCAGGCAGAGAGGAGACCTCACTGCTTGCCTTGCCGTGCTAAAAAGGGGGCGGGGCCAGCAGCTACAGACCCAGAATCAGCACTTGTCTAACCGGGCTGAAACAGAGGGATATGAGGGATGTCTAAAATGCATGATCTGTTTGGTACTTTGAGCAAAATACATCATAGACATGTTTTTTTAATATATTTGTATATATCTGAGACCCATAATATATGCCTAAAAATAGCATGATAGGAGATCTTTAAATGTAACTGCAATACTTAAAACTTAAAGCTCCTAAATTTAAACTTAAAACACTCGAACCTAAAGCGTAGCTTATTAGAGCGTGACTTAGTGCCTAGCTCTTTTTGCTGATGCATGTGGGCTTTGGCTCACCCGAGTAGTAGAGCGGAGGACTCCAGCCCCACGGGACACAGACAGACCGTCTTCATCAACTGTCTCTGTGTCCATCGGACGGTCCAGTTGCTCCTACAGCTTTTGCTAAATAGGATGCCCCAGAACCAAACTTTATGGAAGCAGGTGACCGTTCTGGAACATTTGAGGAGCGAAGAAGCACTAAATATATCTTTATTTTGAAGGAAAACAGAGAGATAGATTTCTAAGAGATTGCAAAGTCTGCAAATGAACTGACTAATTTGTGCCATAACGGACCTCAGCATGGCCTCCACAGCTCTATGGTAGATGGGCTGGAAGTCCTCTACTGAGCGGATCCTTTGAGGATCCTCAAGGTGCATAGGAGCAGTGGAGGTCTGGGGGCTGGGAGCCACGTTAGAGACAGGTCAGCAGGTTTAGAAGGACGAGCCACGGAGGTCTGCTTCCTTTCCTGGGGAAGGTGTGCAGAAGCAGCAGGGAGCCGGCGCTTTGTAATGGAGACCTAGAGAAGGTCAGAAAAACACGAGAGGATGTCAGATTAGGAAACGTCTTACTTAACAACATACTTTTATAATTTTACAAGAGGAAACATTTACATCAGATGCACTGCAGAGGAACACTGTCAAAATGAAAGACCATTTACATTTGACTGGACATTAAACATTCACAGAGTGAAGCAAAGTAAATCTGTAATATGTGACGGAGCTTGATAAGAAGTTACTGAAAGGTGACTCAAGTAAGCAATGCATTAGTCCTGTAGAGTGACCTTGTATAGATCCAAAACATTTAGTATGGACAATATAAAATAAAAAACATAAATGAAGGAATATGAAACATGTAATCAAAGTCTGAAAACTCCTCAAGACGAGACAGGTAACAAAGCCAGACCCGCCTCATGTCAGTTAATATTGTGCTTTAGTGACACATATTTAACATGTGTATACTATAGTATTATATACATTCTGTTTATTGTATGCAAATATAAAATGTTCTGGAAATAACGCTCAGTTAATCAAAGTCTCTAATTAGCTACATTCAAATTCAAAATATTAATGTATTTCAGCTTGGAGCGAGGGGATATAGCCTACAAGGGATATAAATGATTTGTATTAGATATATGAAACAAGTATTTGTTAATATTATCACATGTGGCCTGAAGCATAGTTTTAATCAATTCATGAGTATTTTTGGTATTTTTTTAATGCCTAGATTAATCTATTGAGTCGTTACAGCAGCAAACTTGACCTTAATCTGATGCATACAGTACAGTGTTGACTGGGTGAATGATTTGATACTGTAAGCATCAGTGAACTATGAGGTTTCTCAAAGTGTCCACGGTGCATTACATTGGAAACAACAGGGTCTTTCACAGTCATGAAATCTTACATTTTCCATGACCTAAGTCGCTGTTCTCGCTTTAATAACTCTCTGGGTCACGTTTCACCTCTCATATAAAGTTTATGCTTTCAGCCTGAGATAAAGTTAATATCAATATGAATCTGAAGACATAACTAAACTGGAGATGTCTTGCATGCACTGTTCAGTTTGCTAGCTAAGAGATAATTCACAATATGTACATCATAAACATATAGGCGCACCAATCTAGTGATATAAATGTTTTATCCTTATCTTCAACCTGAAAACAATAGGCTACTTGATGGGAACAAATTATGAAAACACTGTGTTCTGTGACTGTGACATACTTTACCCTCAGTGAAGTGTTGAAGCTGAACCACTTCCAAACAATATTTTCCCCAGGAACATGTTTCGACTGGCAGTATTTGTAACCACACATGTCATTTCTCCTCCATCACGCACAACACATGTCATCCCTCCTCCATCACGCACAGCACATGTCATCCCTCCTCCATCACACACAAACATGCAATAAAGCAGGAAACAGTGTGTCCAGAGGGTGGCGCTAGAGGACAGTCCCTACACAGATCAAGGGTTATCCTATAGTGTTACCGCTGTATGTATTCCCTGTTTCTTTCCCTTTGGTTCCTCTACCCAGGTGTGCTGCATTGCTGCAACGAGGTTCAGACGAGGTGCACCTGGAGAAAGAAGAGCTTAAAAGCTCCAGTGCAGCAGCAGAAGAGGGAGGCCTCTGGTGTGGGGGCTGCTGGATTTCTGCCTCTCATCCGGATGCATAGTTGAACATTTTAAATGTTGATAATAATAAATCCTATGAATTTGATGATTTTAAAGGTGTCTTTTGTGTTTTATTTGGGTCCGTGGTGGAATTTTGTTAGCCCCATAGGGCCATTTTAAGGGTGGGGCGTAACAATAGGGAGTGAAAAGACACCTATAGGCCTACTGTCACTGGAGTGTTAGTTTGCAACATTTCAGATATTACATTATTATTCATCTTCTAGTTCACAATGAAAAGAATGAAATGTTGTACCCTTACTGTAATCATTTTGTACACTTGTAGTTACTTTTTATACAAATACATGTTTAATGGTATATATTATCTACTAATGTACTCAAAACCTTCCAAAATGTCCTCCAAATTGACGAAATACAACATTACAAATCTATTTTAAGTATTGTATATCACAAAAACAGAATAATATATTATTCTATAAGAGAACAACATCTTTACAAGAGGCATTCTGCACAATGACTACTTTTACTTGTCATACTTCAGTAAATGTAGCTGATAATACTTCTGTACTTTTTTAAATGTTTAGTTCTTATCATGTGAATAATATATATTTATATATTTTAAACACTTTGTCAGGAAATAGCCTACTCTGATCTACTTACTGTGAGATGTTTAATTAAAGTTAGTATAGAGAGGGATTAAAATCTTGACTGACAGAATTTTTCATTGGCGAATAAGAAATTAGGAAAGTAAAAACCCTTTATAATGGTGCGTTCACACCGGACGCGATGCGAATATTATTTATAAGGGTTTACTAACAATTCTAACAGACATAATGACTTATTAGAAAGTGAGAGACACAGGATCAGATGGTTGCAGATCAATTGAGTCGTTACAGAAGTATACCTGACCGCATTATCTCTGTAACGACTCAATTGATTAAACACTATAAGACTTAAGTTATAGTGTTTAATGTTATTTATTGTAGAGTAGCCTAAATGATTTGATAATTGCGCGGTCTGGTTGGAATGGTCACTGTCTGCAGAGCGTGCGCGTTTTCTTTTAAAAGTGGTTTCTTGGTAACAGACTGATGCTACTAGCTGCACCATTATTCAGTACAAGGCCAGCTCTGGACCCTGTCAGTTACCTCGGTGTCTCAGTCACTACCAACCTCTAAGATATGTCTTTCATCGGGAAGCTGTTGAGTGGAGGAGAGAAGCTGACGAAGCCCTGCCGGCCGGAGGAGACGGAGCCTCTGCCGGACCGAGAGGAGCTGCTGGGGAAGAAAAGGGAGTTTCTGAAGAAGAAGATTGACCAGGAGTTTCTGTTTGCCAAGACCAACAGTAGGAAGAACAGAAGAGGTATCTTAAAATGTGTTGTATATTCTTTGTATATATAATTTAATAAACTTTAAACCTAGTCAAGAGAGGTATTGTCAGTTTTTTTCAACATGTAGCTTCAATTATTAAGCTAGCACTCAAGCTAACGTTAACTCTTGCTAACAGAACAAGCTAAGCTAAGTTATTGTTCACAGATGTGATACATTTATTTTTGGCTATTCAATGTAGCTTACATAAAGAGTTATTAAAATACAATCACATTATTACATGAATGCAAGACATTTTGACATACACACTGTGGTGAAAAGCATATGGTGAACCGTAATTTAACAATTGAGAAACTGTTAATGGATTTAAAAAAACAACATCAAAGAAATAATCAGCATTTGAACAAAAGAGTATTGTCATTTAAAAAATGTTTTACGCATACCTAAATGGAACGTGTGAACCTTTAAATCAATGTACTCTAACACACTGATGGAACAAAGACAAAAGATTTCCAATGGTCAGAAATAAAAGGAAAGTGCTCCTTGATTTACATCATTGTGCAAAAAGGTCCAGTACAACAAGAGGGAGATACCACAGTGTAGATCAAATGGAAAAAGTCTGACCATGACACAGTTAACTTTACTGTGTTTGTATCTCATCATATCATCCAACATTGAACATTAATTATATTCCATTTAAATGCACCCGTTCAAGAACTCTGTTATCATGCAAGTGTATCTGTACTTTAGAAAATCATGTTGAGAACATTCCTGCTCATTTACTGTATCTCTCCATGCGTTCCTTACAGGAGCTCTGCAGGCGCTGAAGAGAAAGAGGTGGTACGAGAAACATCTCAAAAACATCGACTGTGCTGTGAAGGCCATGAGGTCTGCTCATGAACACATGTAAGGCACCAGCACAGCAGCTCATCAGAGTTAAGGAGATCATCATTATGTAATCAGGACACAAAAAAAGGTTTTTTTGAATAGCAGGATTAGGTACAATGTTAAAATACATTTTAAAATCAAGAACACTATATAACAGCAAGCGATATTGCCTGAATTTTGTCTTTGGTTTCATTTGGACTCATTTATTTTTCTAGATTTAAAAAAATTGGGGATTAACAGCAGGATTACAATGTTACAAAAAATGTAGGATATGTATGAATATATACAGTATGTCATTGTAAAATAAAAACATTTTTAAGATGACATTAAATAGAAAAAGAAAGAGAACTCGCAAAAAATGTCAGCCATTCTGGAGACAGGTTAAAATGTTGAATGAATCAAAGTGAAGTGAATGTATGTGGATGTTTTTATGACATACCATGAGATTGCATCCGTCTAACAGCAAATATATCATCCTCTTTTTCTTTCAAGCCTAATACAAAGTTAACGATAGAGTGCTGGCTTTTGCAGGGAGATTGTCAACAAGCTGAATGACGTGATGAAGGAAATCACAGAGGAGCACGATCTGACCCAGGACATAACCGGAACCCTCCTCAGTTCTGCCGGCTTTGAAGTAGAATTTTATGAGGTATCCCTTAGTTATTTCATTTGAGTGGGACTGAAGTTAAAAAAAGTATTCTTTTATTGAACTGAGCCTATGTGTGTGTCTCCCTCAGGAAGAGCTGCTGGCAGAGCTGCAGAGGCTGGAGAACAGTTTGGATGAGAGTGTCTTTAATAAGGACGCAGCGGAGAGGAGGCTGCCATCCTCTGCATCACCTTCTCAACCTGGTAAAAACATCCATCACGATACACTTTTAGCTTAGATGGTAAAACAGGACGTGTCACACCACAGATCCAACGTGTTTTTTTCCTCCCCAAAGCCATGACAGAGGAAGAAGACATTGAAGGAGACTTAGAGCGTCTGAGGTGCTGGGCGAGTGCTCCCTCATAGGCACATGGCAATAAGAGGAAAGGATGGAATAAATAAGCAGAAATGAAAGGATTGTTATGAGAGTTTTGTGAGAGCATTAAATGTAAGGCGTAGGCTATTACAACAAATCTAAATCATTTATATTGTAGTGCTATGAGTTCTGTGATAGAGTTTTATAATACAATACTATACATAGTGGACTCGTCCTGTTCATTTGTGGGCCATGGGACATTTGTGACTTCCCTCCAAGTTATCATTTTGGTCCAATCCGTATGGAAATATCCATAGATATAATGTGCAGGTTACTATCCACACCAGAAGGGGGCGGTACATGACCACACACAGGCCCTTTTCACAATGACATATGGGAACTATTGACTTTTTTGCAAATGCCATATGCAATAGTTGAATTAATTAGGGATTAAAAGTATCTGTAGCAAAAACACATGTAATCGGTTTCTCTTCAGCATGTCAATTCTTTCACCTGTGGAGAAATTGCAGGATTGGCTCCAGGTCGCCCTTTTTATTTACTACAAGACAAATGTGCCTTTTTATTTCATACAGTTCAATTTGGATTGAGACAGGGAAATAATCTAAACCTCACGCGTGGCATTTCACTGTCAAGGGGTGCGATATAGCGTGTACGTAATTACATTGCAAATACTGACTTGAGCCCCACCACTGTATGGGTTAGCCCTACCATAGATTACCCAACAAAAATACTCTGGCTGCCACTGACGATGGGCTGGGCCCCTCACTAGAGGTGAAGTATAATGGTTCATAAGTTAGGTTATAAGGTAGCAAACTTAAGCAAATGTAGCTAATTCATGCTTGAGACTTGAATATGCTCTAAGGATAAAAACAGCCTACATCATAGCTCTCCAGAGGATTTCATTCATTTTGTTAGAAAAAGTGTTCAGCTCTTCGCTTATAACAGAAGCCTCAGATTGTTATAATAAGGGGAAATAGGAAGGGTATATTTCATTGTTATTGTTTTTGTTTTTTTAACAACTAAGACTAACAACTTGTTAGAAAATGTTTTCAACTTTGATTGACAGAATTTATTTGAAAAGTGGACTTATTAACACATGAATACTACTGTGTAATATCTGTTTACTATACACATATATTTAAGAAGTACAATATAAGGCAAGTACAAGTTTCATGTGTGGGCCTTAGTTGGCCCCCGGGCTGTAGTTTGGACACCCCTGATGTAGGCAGTTAGAAGCTGGAATCTCTCCACCACCTTAAATAACCTTAAGGAACTTATGAAGGTAATACTGTGTAGGCGTAGGTTGTGACCCATTAAACAGAGAGCTGGTGCCAACACAGCCTGGTTTTATCAGCAGGATATCACACCTCAGGCAGCACTGTACCACTGTTTACACACCTTTAGCAGGGCTTTGACTTGATTAAGGGCATAACATTGTCATTGCAGCTCTTCCCTCATGATGTGTAGACAGAAGCTGTGGTACTATAAACACTCACTCCAAAAGCAGATAGCTCTAGTCCTTACCATTTACACTTGTGATGCATCATGGCATCATGTCATTCACATTCAAACACTGTTTGTTAGATAGATGTTATACTTAAATCAGTCACAGTATGGGAATCTTAGAGACATTAAAGCAAACCTTGAGCTCCTGTTTTCCCCGGCCTTTTTAAATCATACTTTTGCATAGTCTTTGGGAAATATTAGATTTTGCTGCCTTCATCTAGAATGTTTATCCATAAATCTCCAAATGTTGCATGCAGCATCAACACTCAAGACTTATATGCATTTTGTTCAGTTTTTATATGTAGCATGTATTCAACAAATAAATTGTAAATGGTAAATCTAAGTTAAAAGTTTGAGAAATGTAAAATATGTAATGATTTTATCGTTTGCATATTAAAGGAAATAAGCAAATTGGTAAAACCATAATAATAAAATAATTCTCTTGACTCTTAACCTCTTTACCTTGCCAATATACATTATTTATTTTAGTCACAAATTAAATAGAAAATACCATGAACAAGGTCACAAGTTTGTTGGTTTAATTTTCATGTTTACAATAATTCATACATATTATGTATACAAAATATGAAACCACATGAATTAAGAAGCTGTAGCGATAGGTTCAAGGTTTAATCCTGTATCACGTTTGTACTTTAATACAGGACAGGTCACACTTTATTTTCTGGAGGTTCCAACAAGTTATCATTTTCACCTAAAATTGGGAGATAATATTAATTTCAACAAACCCTCAAATTATTGAGTTTTTTCTAATATAGATTATTATAATTTTTCTGTCAGTACTGATACATTTAATATTTTTGGAACGCCTTTAATCTAATTACAATTTATTGTGATATACAATTATATTTAGAGTATAGATGCTACTCAAAGACAAATGGTTAAATAGAGCAAAAGTATATCTAACAAATAAAAACAGATTAAATAATATAAAAAAAAAACATTATACAATAATAGATAAATATATTCATGAGAATTCATAGTAAACCCCTGGAATTGTATGCATGTATGTTCTATGTCATATTTTATATCATATGGTGACCCTTGAACTTCCATCTAGAAGCAACATATACAGTCATTACATTTCTCATAGCAAGGACATTTTTTTTGTAACAACACATAGTTTATTACCAGGAAATGCTTTTGTGTATTAGTCCGTAAAAAATGCAGTTAGAACATTTATTTTAATACAAATAATACCATAAGTTAATAATGTAAAAATATTCACTGACATAAAATAGCTCTACAGACTTTAGAAATTGTGTGTGCAGACATGAGCAAAACTGTGAGGGATGTGCAAAGGGTGAAAGTGTTACCTCTGGTAACCCTTTAAATCCAGTATCTCTGTCTGCTTTGAGCGAGCACTCAGGATTAATTAGTCTGTAACCCAGACAGAGCCGGTGACGCTCACAGCAGAGGGGGGGGGGGAGAGGCAGGGATGGCGTAGACACCAAGAGAAGATTGTCGAAGGTGTATCCTCCGACATCGCAAAGGCAACTCTGAATGTGCTGTGGAAATGTGAGTGTGGAGTTTAAGGACATGTAAGGAGTGTAGGACACTGGACTGAAGCCTGATGGGGTCTGGGACCAGCCAGCAGGAAGAGACAGGTACGACTAACACACAGTACACACACCGCAGAACATTCTGAGAAAGGATAACAATGGAATTGACATCCATACATTTGAATGTACCTATAATATTATTTTTGTCACTAAGTGCAGGGGACACACACAGGTGCATTTTGCAAGATTTATGTGTACAATGACCTAACACCTTGATAACTTGCGTATTTCTTTCTTCTACTAGCCATAGAGTAAATCATTTCATTATGTGTGTCTCAACACTCTCATCTACCAAGGTATAATGTGTTCAGCTGTGTCTGGTGTGGTTGAATATATCAAGATAGCAAGTAGTTGTTAGTTGTTGATCAATATATGCAGGTTTGGAGAGTAACAAATAACATGCAATGGGATTAGGTAATCAGGATACAAAAAATTGCTAACCTTATTCGGTTAAAGTTAGATAAAAGAAGTATAAGATTACTGTAACATTTTTTTTAAAGTGCCTGAATACGCTTAATGAAAGGCAGTTTTCCTATAGATAAATACTCCTAGCAGAGAACACAGTTTTGGAAACTAATCCTGGTTTCTTTTTTTCTATGGTTTCATTGTTCTGTTGTCCTACATAAAACACTGAAAGAGGCCCTTTCATTCTTTTAGGCATTTTCCCTGTCTTGTAGTTTGCCATATAGGTTTTTGTGCATGTAAATGGTCTGCAAAGGCAAAAATCCCTGTGTTTGCATATTATTATTTCTTCCTGTTTTATTTATTTGCATTGCATTTGATATTGAGGTAATCAAAAAAGTAATGGGAAGTAATCGGGTTGTATAACGCATGTTATACTTGGATAAATTAACTGATTACATTTTTTTTTACAGGTAACTAGTAATTGTAACGGAATACATTTTGTAAGGGTTCAAGTTCTGTTGATCATCATTTGCATAACAGCTACAGCGATCAGTCGTGGGAAATGACTGTTGTATTTCAGGCTTGCTGCAACAGTGGATTGAACTAAATGTGAACATAAAGAGAGCAGTAATAAATATATAGTATGTTGTGATTCTTTCACCTCTGATACCTCTGATTCCACACCCAGTTACAGAGAGCCCCCCCACATCACAGTCCAACACTGAGTCAGAATCAGCTGACTCCTCTCCTCGTCCGCCCACCATCCTCATCACAGCTCCTTCACGAGAAGACATCCACTGCTCTCAGTCCAATCTGACCATATCTGAAGCCTCCAAAGAGCAGCAGCCTTCTTCCAAGCCCTATGTAGTGGGGAAGAGACACTGAACACACATGAGCTGCCACAGAGGGTAGGATGGGGATCAAAGCAAGCAAACACTATGAAACTGTAAGCTGTGGTGGAATCATTTGGTTAATTCATTAATGGACATAATAGCCTACAGCTAAATTAAATGAACAATCTCTCTCCAGTGTCATTTTATCAAGCACATACATATTTATTTTTACTGACTCATACTTTGTGTTTACCTCCATAAATCTGCACCTTGTTGAGGTTTTTATGGCCATAATCTATGAAATCTATAATAATGCAACTTTATTGGTTATTTAGTTATTAGTAATGCTCAGTCTGTGGATCAGTTGTATAATGATCAAAATAAAATATGTTTTATTGGTTTTAAGAAATAGGAAGAAGCTTGAAAGTGAATGGACTTACTGCTTCAAGTTTGACTTTGTTTTAATAAATATGTTTATTTATTTAAGTGAAATTCAAAATTGCTGGAGTAGCCCTTCATTACTCCTATTAATGTTAATGCTTATGCTTTCTATGTGCTCAAAGTAGGCTAATTCTAATAACGTTATTAGAAGCTATGGGCAATATATTCCATGTTGTTTTGATGACTATGTTGATTACATGTGTGGTACAATCATAAAGGGAAAAGGCAGATACGTTTACATGTTTATTTGTTATTTTATTACAGTTCTCGAAGATGGAGTCAAAATGGACTTTACAAAAACCGACCATTTGCGGATGATGTGATCACAACACACTGAAACTCCGGGAAAGCACTTAGTTGTCCTGTTGGTGTCCAAAAGCATAACAATATGGCGGCGCCCGACTCGGTGTGCTCGGTGTGCTTCTTATTATACATCCATGCGTGTGCTACGGACTGTCGAGTTAAAGCCTTAAGGGACGATACCCTTGTCTTCTGAGGTTGAAAACAACCTTAAATGAAAGGATGGATAACGTAGGAGAGGACGAACCAGAACCTATAAAGCTCAAGTCTATCAAGACTAATAAAACATTCACAGTGCCTCAAAGTGACAGGGTAAGAGAAGTAGCTCCGCCAGACTCTGTTCAGGACTCATAGCTTTATGATTTACTGTTAATTAGAAAGAATACATAACTCATATATGCCTAATGTAGACTTAACACGATTCATTATGGCCTAGTCTGATAAACGGCATATTTGTCACGGGTATCACTTCATTTAATGTGTATTTGTAAAGCGCTTTGAGCACCCGTAAAAGCGCTCTAATAAAAAATGTAATACATTATTATTATTATTATTATTATTATTATTATTATTATTATTATTATTTAAACACGGTAATGTGTAGTTGTGTGACGCTCAGTATAAATGAATCACAATCCGCATTCAAACTGTATGAAGCTAGTGCAGTAGAGCAGGGGTTCCCAAAGTGGCGGTCGCGAGATGATTACAATTAAACATTTATTATTCACGTGGTGGGAAGTCGCTTGTCTCTGGCACTGTTATTTTGGGGGTCGAGGGGTTATATATTCTTATTTTTATCATGCCACACATCATGCACTTTTATTCTGGGACAGGATTTTTTTATTTATTGTGTCATCTTATGTTTTTTAATATTCTTATATAATAATTGTTACCTTATATGTTTGTTTATAAATCTAGTTTCTTAATATTTAGGTGTGGAGAGCTGAGCGTAAGAATTGCATTGTACAGTGCAACTGCCTGTTGTATGACAGAACAAATATCTTTAATAAAAAAAAAGTAGTGTTGTACTGTACTTTATTATATGTATAAGAATTATTTTTACATTATGATGCTTTATACTTTTTCTTCTCTACAGTTTGAATGCAAATATTATACTTTTTATTACATGTATTTACATGTTTAGTTACTAGTTACTTTGCAGATTTTGGTAAATAAATTAAACAATAAAAGAATGTCTGTTGCTTAAAATGGCCATTTTGCATCAGACATAGTTTTACTTTAGGTACTTATCATGTATTTATATGCTCATATATTTTCCCTTTGACTTATGTACAGTTTTAATGCGGGACTTTTACTTGTAACTGAGTATTTTTAAAGTGCAGCATTGCTACTTTAATTAAGTAAATAAGAGTATTTATTCCACCTCACCTTAAAAGCAATAAACAACAGGAAATCCTTATTAGGTAAAGTGGCTGCAAGTGTTCACTCAGAGGAAATGTGACATGTAACAAATTAGCTGTTTTTAATGTTGTTAGGCATTATTTCCGTAAAGGTGTGTTGTGATAAACTACCTGCAGTTATGAGCGCACATTGTGGAAAAGGAATTGGTTAGTTGGCGCCTTCGCTATATGTGTCAGTTAACTTTTAAAGTAAAAAGTCTGTGCCTCTGAGCAGCTTAGCTCATTACTGGCTTCAATCTACACATAAGCCTAAATGTTAAAGCACCCAACTATCTACGTCATTGGGTGATTCCTCCTAAGTGAGACCTCTTGCTACGAAAAAATCTCTCTTCCTTAATGACCTATTTCACTTTATTAGAACAGCAATCACAGTCACTATCATATTTAATGTGCACTGGGCCAAAGTTCCATTAAGGTAATTGCTAATTCTGCTCATCATTTTGGTTCAACTATTTTTCATATTCACTTCAGTATTTATGAATACTTTAAACTGTTACATGGAGTTATCCAGAGGAAAAGAGACACTTTCCAGTTACTATCATACACCACATTTATTCTTCAGGCTTCATCCTGTAGGTCAATCAATCTAAATGTTGTTCATATAGCCCCATATCGCAATTGCACCTATGTTGCAGATGGCTTTACAGTCTGGTAATAATGTATTAAAAATGTAATGACTGTAAAATCTTTGATTATACTACTTTAGACAAGCATGATGCATGAAGTCCACTGATGTGCGGAGAGTCTCTTTACCATCTCTGTCTTTTCACTCTTTTTCAGTTTGGGAGCTGCAGGAGTGTCAGAGAGTTTGAGAAGTTCAATCGCATCGGAGAAGGAACTTACGGCATTGTGTGTAAGTATTTAATGTTTGAAGAGGAATTAGAAATAGCACTTTATTTACACTTCTCAGTAAATATACTGTTTTTCTTCCTTCTGTAGACCGAGCTCGAGACACCAAGTCAGATGAGATTGTGGCTTTGAAGAAGGTCCGTATGGACAAAGAGAAAGATGGTAAGATCAATGCTCTGATTCATATGTCTGTGTTTTAATGCAGTAGTTTTGGTGTGTTTTTCTTTGTTCCACATGCAATCGTATGTGTTGTTATGCATAGAATTACCTTTTTGTACATGTGGGAACTTTTTCCAGACTTAAAGCATGTAAACAACCTGAACATGAGTATAACAGGCCTGATTTATTCCTGGTTTCTGTTGTTTGCGTGTTAAAAAAGTGTTTAAAGCCTCTGATTTCCTCCTGGTTCTGTCAGGGGTCCCCATCAGCAGCCTCAGAGAGATCACCCTGCTGCTGAGGCTCAGACATCCCAACATAGTGGAGCTGAAAGAAGTGGTTGTTGGCAGTCAACTGGAGAGGTAGTACACATACTCACACCGCCATGGTAGATAAGAGAATGTTATACAGCAACAATTAATGCTGATCGTCTCACTGGGCGAAATGTAACTATTCAGCGTCTGTCCCAGCTGTCTTTACCACAGTCACCTCAACCTGTTTTACACACTTTATCCTCCATGTTCAGTGTTTCCCCTAGGTTTACTGCCTTGGCAGGGTGCTGCTCGGCCCCGAATTATTATTATTTTTTTATCCTCTGGAGCAAAAAGAGGAGCTGTGGATTATTGTTATTGTTATCGTACAGTAACAAAGTATTTGTACATTAAAAAGTAATAAAGTACTGTATTACTTTTATTCAAACTGTATTCCCTTCTTATCATGTATCCTACACTTCTTCCTTTCATTGATACATTTAAATCACCTGACTACAGCATATAACATACCTGCTGCAACCCTGTGCTGCTGCTGCTTCTCTGCCTCATCCTCTATTGCTGGAGGCATGAGAAGTCAAAGGTCTTTTATTTTGAAACTCTACATCAGAATGTCCTGATTCTCCCTGAGTGACTAGATGGGGTGTCCTGCTATCACCCTGGAGTGAGATGAGTCTTTGATACTGGACAGTTTTTGTTTTATTCTCATCTAAAAACAGAGGGATGATAGCTCATATATGAGATTTCAAAGGTCTTTGATTTTGAAACTGTATATCAGATTGTCCTGATTCTCCCTGAGTGACTAGATGGGGTGTCCTGGTGTCCTGCTATCACCCTGGAGTGAAATGAGTCTTTGATACTGGACAGTTTTTGTTTTATTCTTATCTAAAAACAGAGGGATGATAGCTCATATATGAGATTTCAAATGTATTTTATTTTGAAACTCTACATCAGAATGTCCTGATTCTCCCTGAGTGACTAGATGGGGTGTCCTGCTATCACCCTGAAGTGAAATGAGTCTTTGATACCGGAGGGTTTTTGTTTTATTCTCATCTAAAAACAGAGGGATGATAGCTCATACATGAGATTTCAAAGGTCTTTTATTTTGAAACTCTACATCAGAATGTCCTGATTTTTTCCGAGTGACTAGATGGGGTGTCCTGCTATCACCCTGGAGTGAGATGAGTCTTTGATACTGGACAGTTTTTGTTTTATTCTCTGCTAAAAACAGGGATGATAGCTCATATATGAGACTTCAAAGGTCTTTTATTTTGAAACTCTACATCAGAATGTCCTGATTTTTTCTGAGTGACTAGGTGGGATG